AAAAAAAAAAAAAAATAAGCACTATTAGTTAGTAATTGTTCTTATTTTGAAACAACATGTATGTCCCTATCACTTTTATCTGTTGGTCCTGGGACTTACTATGTGAAGAAATTTAGATAATAACAACTTCTCTTCCTTTCTAATTTTAATATTTGTAATCTGTCATGTGTCTTTTCTCTGTACCTTTATTACTCCCCTGCCCCAGAGAATAGCGTCTCACTCTGTTGCCTAGGCTAGAGTGCAGTGGCATCTGGCATCATCATAGTTTACTGTAATCTCAAATTCCTGGGCTCTTGTTATTACTCTGGTGGATTCAAACTCGTGGCTGCATGTGATCCTCCCATGTTGGCCTCCCAAAGTTTTAGGATTATAGGCATGAACCACTGCTCCTGACTCCTTTAATGATTTATTTTTAGCTATTTCTACTCTGAAACTGTCCCCTTTTGTTAAGGTCTGTAAGTGTTATACTCAAATGAACAGAGATTTCAGATGTGATCTAATAAATTCATAATAAAGGAGAACTATTACTTTCCTTAACTTGGACACTCTTAATGTTTTTTAAAAGATTTTATAAATATAATTTAAGATTTTTTCTTTCATTTTTTTCATTTGTTTTTTGCCCTGTGTTTTAAATTATATTATATGAGATAATTTTTAGATATATGAAATGTCAAAAATATTTAGGATTTTGGATTAATTCTAGTATAGTTGTCCCCTAGTATCATTGGGGCATGGTTCCAGGACATTCTCATATCCCTGCAGACACCAAAATCCACAAATTCTCAAATCTCTTATATATAGTGGCATAGTATATGCATAGTATAACCCATACACCCATATATATGCTCCTGAATACTTTAAATCATCTCTAGATTACTTATAATACCTAATAAAATGTAAATAATATGTAGATAGTTGTTATATTGTACGTTTAGGGAATAATGACAAGAAAAATGTCTATATATGTTCAATACAGAAGCAATCACCCTTTCCATCACCACCCCATATATATATATATATATATTTTTTTTTTTGCTGTTGATTGAACCCACATATGTGGAACCCATGGATACAGAGAACCAACTATTTTTACTTAAGTAGCATATTTCAAAATATTAAATACCATTATTTTATTAGGAATCATAAAAGTATTATGTCTTAAACTGTTGAAATCAGTAACAATAGACAGGTAGATAGCATTAGGGTGGCTAATTGACAATTATATATCACATACTGAATTTGTGGTTATTCCCTATCCTTGGAATATATTCCCATGATACTCTTCCACAAGAATGTAGTAACCAACTATTATGAAATTCTTTCATTAGAAAACCTCAGAAATACTTTCTGGCTTCTCATCTCCAGGAGAGTATTTTGTAGATACCCACTGGAATGGGTTCATTTCTTCTGCCTGGGTTTATTTCTTCTGGGAAATTATATTAAGTGTCTGTAGATTTTCTATATGAAAATCTTCAGCATCTTCAACATGAACATTAATCCATGTGGAAAGAAGCAGTAGTACTTTCTTTAAAGGACATTTTCCAAAACCTTCTTATCTATCATTTGAATAATATTTTATGCTGAATATATCAGTTTAAAGTGATGCTATCAAAATTTAAGACAGATTGTGTCAATCATCCATTTAAAAGATTTTGGTTTCTGAGATGTATCACACCTATAATTCTAGCACTCAAGGAGGCCAAGGCCAGTAGATCACCTAAGTTCAGGAGTTCGAAATTAGGCTTAGCAAGAGACCCCATCTCTACTAAAAAGAGAAAAACTAGCCAGGCATTGTGGCCGATCCCTGTAGTCCCAGCTATTCAGGAGGATAAGGCAGGAGGATCGCTTGAGCCAAGACTTTGAGGTTGCTGTGAACTATGTCACCATGGCAATGAACCCTAGGTTGACTGAGTGAGACTCTGTCTCAAAAAAAAAAAAAAAGTTGGGTGGTGCCTGTTGCTCAGTGGGTAGGGTGCCGGCCCCGAGGGTGGTAGGTTCAAACCTGGCCCCAGCCAAACTGCAACAAAAAAATAGCCAGTTTTTGTGGTGGGCTCCTGTAGTCCCAGCTACTTGGGAGGCTGAGGCAGGAGAATTGGCTAAGCCCAGGAGTTGGAGGTTTCTGTGAGCTGTATGACAGATAAAGTGAGACTCTGTCTCTTTTAAAAAAAAAAAAAAAAGTTTCTGGTTTCTGTCCACATTTCTCAAGGGAAAAAGAAAGTCATATTCCTCTCTTCATCCTACTCTTACCAATTCTCTGTAGGTACACCAAATTCTTCACTGTTCTTTTTATGTGTCAGGTGTCCTCTGCCTAAGAGCCTTTTCATTTATTGTTCCTACTGTCTGGAATATCCCTTTTTTAAATTTTGGCAGCTCTGACAATACTGAAATATTACTTTCTCCATGAAATGATTTAAATTGCTAATACCTCTCCCACTATTGTTAGCACAGCAATTTTCTTTTGCCCTGTTCTTTTTTATTTTTTAAGTAGCACTTAATACCTTTGACCATATTATATAATGTACTTCTTTCCCTAGAATGTAAACTCTATGAAGAGCTGTGAGGGCAGGAATTTTTATTTGTTTTGTTCCTTGATGTGTCCTCAGTCCCTAGAACAGTGTCCAGTAAAAAGGATTTGATAAACATTCATTGTTGAATGAAGATGCCTTAGATTTTGTTTAAAAGAAGTATGTAGGATATATATATATATATATATATATATTTAATTATCTATAGCTTTATGGGTTATCTAAGCCGTTATTAACTAAGCCTATATGGCTTTAACATTATTTTGAATTTACCCCCCCCTCTTTTTTTACTTTTGGTAAAACTGAATGTGTGTAGACTCCTTTCCTTGTAAACTAATACTATTTTCAGTGAAAGCTGGGAATTTGTGACAGTTGCAATAGAATGTGAGTTAAATTTGTTGTGTGTCTGGAATGACTATTATCTGAGACCTTGTTAAGTTTCTTTTATTTTCATTGCTATTTTTATTTTTTTTTTATTTTTTTTT